GATTTGAATTCAAATAAAGAAGGGAATCTTCGTTCTTATCAATTTCTCAAAGAAGACACGTGGAGCACTTCCAAGAGTCAAAGACATGCAGAACGCCACTTGTCTCGATCTAGTTCGTTAGCCGTTGATGGCAGTTATTTTAGATTAGTATAAATAGCAATTCTTAGTGTTATGATTAGTGTGTGTGTGTGTGTGTGTGTGTGTGTGTGTGTATGTATGTGTGTGTGTGTGTGTGTTTAACTGTGTACAAATTCCTTAGTATACTTAAAGTACCCGCGTGAAGAGAAACGAGCTCATGAGAATGTACGTTGATGCAAATCCATTTTTACATTTCAATGCAATTCAATAAGTCTTTTCATTAAGAATTTATCTTTGCTTTGCGTAAGTTACTTTCTACATTTTTTTACCAGTCTTTTGACTTTAATCTCTTGTGTTCAATTCCATTTACACTTTTGAAACAAGTTATTTTTATCATGAACTCTGTCGAAGTGTTCATTGTTTTTCCAAAATTTGTTTAAGATCAACTAGCACATGTTTTAGGATTTGTGTGGTCGATCTTGTAAGTAAAACAAATCTTTTTTGATTTGGAAGACCAGCGGTTGTTCACCATTTTTTATGGTGAACAGTAAGATCCCTGTTAGAACACATAGACCAACCCGTGATAGATGTCGGAGGGTCGACTTTGTAACCCGCTGCAACGGTTAAAGAGGAAACCCAAGAGTCACCCTGAGGTTACAAAATTATGATTTGTCTCTTACAATGTTCCTTCATAAATCATTTGAACGTTACGACCCACATCAATGATGGACGACTATAACCGTTGTTTCATTAATGGTCATCAAACCATTACTTATGGCCATAATTAAGTGAGTCTTTTGGAATGCTGGAGGGAAGAATAATAACAATATAAGTATGATATCAAAGTAGAGAGACAGAGGGGACAATTAGGTGAAAGCAAGATGATAGCAATATGCGTGTAAGACCCAAGGATCTAAAAAATGGAGCTAATCACCTCATCCTCCCTTATACTAATCATAGACACACTAACCATTAATTTGTAACCTTTCCTGGTGAGCATAAAAGAGGTTAACCCTTTAATGTTTTTAGTAAGAACAGGTACGTTCGTGAAACATTTTATGATTTGATATGTTGTTGTTGTTGATAAAATTTGTATGTTATTAGTAATAAAAGTTGTATGTTATATGTTGTTTGTGGTATGTTACATGCTACAACCTTTTTACCACGAATAGTCGATCTTTGTTGTAAAGAGGGTACATACACCCACACGATACCTTACCATAGACCACCACCTATAGTAGAATCTTTCTACCAACCGGGGTTATATGTGTATTTTGTAGTAGTGTGTGGTATCTATAAATGATTAATCAGCGAGGCATTGCTCATAGTCAATTATACCACAACCAAAATCAATTAGAGAGAGAGAGAGATAGACTATTCATCCTCGATTATCTATACACATACAATCAATTATGTAAGTGAAAATTATTTTCTTTGTATTTTCCAAAGAATTTTTGTACATCCACCATCAAGCTAAACTAAATTGATTTTATCAATGAAAAAATCTTTGAAAACCTTCAAATTAGATTAGTAGACCAATTTTCTACTCCAAACTTCATAGGTGTGCGGAAGTATATTCATGTGATAATAGCCTTATCCTATAAAATCTCTAGAAACCTAGATCCTAGAAAATTTTCAAAAGCGGTATAATGCCCTTTTATCCCTTGTTTCCAGATAAGCTCATTAAAGCTTTGTATATCAACCTCCAAGCCACTCACATGCCTTAATCTCAAATCTCAAAGCTTGTTCTTGCCATGAAAGTCTTTACTAGTTAATGTTTTATGAATAATAACGCATGAACCAAATAAAACATATAACAGACGCATTTTAGACTCTTTAGCAACATCCAATCCACCATAAAAAAATTCCAACACCCCTTGTTCAATTCTAGTGAAATAGTTTAGATCATCAAACATGTTTATGGAAAATAAATTTTTTCGGACCTTGAAATCATACCTCAATTGCGTAGAAGAAAATCGCAATCAACAAACATTTTAAGTCTAACTGTACGAACACCATGAAGGTTGCAAGCATTATTGCCACCAAGATGAAAGAATTCACCTTCTTCTATCTTCAAAGTCACAAGGTACTATTTCCTTAGGCACATGTGATAAAAGCATCATGATTCAATCAATTTTTTTTCCCGCTAAACTTGACACCACTAGTGCATTAACACTATTATAATCATCCATATCTAAGGCAACTACAATATAAAAAAATTCATGCAGGAATGAATGTCTCGCCCTTTAATGCTTTAACCCAATTTTTGAGTTAATATTGCATGTATCTTCACTCTCCTCAACTCAAAATAATTTTCTTCAAAAAATGTCTCGATATCTCATTTAGAAATCATTTGACCATTTGTAAACTAAACCTTTTGCCCCAAGGTTTATGGCACTTGTTGTGAAATTGAAAGGTTCAGTCACACGAAGACATCTTCGCTAAAAATATAACAATAATATTACTCAAACTAAGAATATTTACGTGTGGCACAAAGCACAATATAAACTAAATTGTGCAAAAAAAAAAAAATCCATAACAAACAAGAGGAAGAAAAAAGACAGGTACACATAAAAATTGATTATCCAGTTTGATCAAATCGATCTACTATGGGGGGGGGGGGAGAATAGTTCTCCAATTCATTATTCTCTAAAAGTTGTTACAAATGAGTTATAAGAAAATAATCTCTTAAGTTCCCAAAATAAACCCTATTTTTTTTAACAAAGTGTTTGCTAACTCTCAATACATGAATAACACAATCCAATGTTGTTTGAAGTGTTTCCCAATATATGTCTCTAAAGGTCTTCCGAATTTCAAAAATACATGTCAAAGAATTTCTTCCATTGCCTCTATAAATTACCCTTAGATATCTACATAAGTTTACTCAATTTCAATTATACAATTCTAGAAATTTCTACTTTTACCTCTTTAATTAGAATTCTCACCCCTTTCTTTGGTCTTCTTCTCTTGCAAACAAAAGTGATAAAGAACATTATTTATAACTGCTGAAACTCTAAATATTTAATTCGGGCCCAAAACACGATCCTTCATTGACTTAACCCATGAACCAAACCGACACAAGACCAACCCAGTACCGACCCTACAACGACCGATGAATGCCTCATCTGCCATATGACGCCCGTCGAACCTCCACTATCGCAAAGTCAATCAACAGACCACCATCAAAGCTCTGCCACCAACCACTACTCAGACTCTGGTTATCGCTACTGTATAAACTTCCTCCACCACGACTTTTCCTCCTACCCGAATCTGTGCCTAATGACTCCAACGCCATTGACATTATCGACTCCACACTTTCACCGACCTCTATTGCCTCATCCATTTTTGATAATTTTGAAAAACATGTTTTTTTGTCCTCTTCATCATTTGTGGTTTTAAAGCATATACCCACAATATCATTAATTTTAAGGTGAGTCTCTTGAATATCAACATAATCTAAGGGTGTGTATGGTTTTTAAACCAAACCGAATTAGACCATATATATGGTTCAGTTTAGTTCTTAGAAATGTTTCTATAAAACTAGTTTATGTTTTCAAAACCAATTTATATTTGGATAAGTTTAGTCTAAAATCGATTCTTATTAAAACCCAAATTTTCATTTGATCCAATTTTAAAATTAATTTCTATCAAAACCACTTATATTAATATTTAATGGCAAAATTGCATGGCTCTGATTAGCAGTTTTATTTTGTTATCTTATAGATTTATAGATTTGTAAGTACTATTTTAATTATATTTTAACAATGTTCTCTCTCTTATCTGTTTAGAAGTGTCTGAAATTGAGCCTCCATGTTCTCTAAAGTTTCGACACACACACACATGAAGACGTATCTAATGAGAATGAGTAAGTTACATGAGAATGTAAGAATGAATAAAAATTATCAGATTTAAAAATGAAAGGTTAAGATTAATAAATATTTTTAATGGTTTATCTTTCCTCTTAATGACATATGATTTAGTGAAAACTATGATTTAATCTCAATCTTTCCTTTTTAAAAGAGAATTTTTTTTATAAAAAAAAAATTAACTAACAAATTTATAAGACCATTATAAAATCAAAATTAATAAATGAATGCAATTTCCCTTAGCGAGAATTGTGAGCTGGTTAGAGTAATTCAATTCGTAATAAATTTGTGAGAATGATAGAGTAAGTGAATTTGTAATAAATTTGTCTTTATTGAAAGTTAAGAGAAAAGATTTTGCGATTTTTATTTAGATTATAACCGGATATTAGTACATGGCAATCAAATGTTATTAGTATTTTTAAAATGAATTGGATCAGTTATAAGCAAAAGTGGTTTGGATTTTTTAATTAGATAAACCAAATTTCTGGTTATAGATCGGATGAATCAGTTAAAATGCATACCCTTTACATAATCCACTTGATAATAAAGATGTTCATGTAATCAAGGACATACAAGAAAAGAAAATTATCATTCTCTACCATGGATTTCCATATAATTGAGCACTCTCTTTTTAACATTTAGGATAATCTCATGATAGTAAATGTATTTGTTCCATATCATATGGACTAAAGGTTTATAAGAATGGAACTAAATATCCCAAAGTAGTTTGTCAAAGATAGCTGTGTTAGCTTCTTGTCATCATCCCTAAGCCGCCTAGTTTATCTAACTTTATTTCATTTGACCAAATAAATATTAAGTCTATATTTTAGACATTTTAATCTTTAAATATATTATTCAATGAGTTTTACATATTTTATTAACAAAATTATACTTGAATTATTTTTAATACTATATTTAAAAAAAATAAATTGAATTATTTTTCCACATAGAATAGTCAAGGTCTTTTTTGTGGCCTATATAAAACTAAGGCTGGATTCTCATTTTCTACTCACAAAACAACATCTCTTTTCTTGTTTTCTAATCTTTAACTAAAAAATGTCTCTTACAAAAATATCATTGTTGTTGATGTTCACTTTTTGCTTGATATCTGCACAGGCAGCAAGGTTTGACATTGTCAACCAATGCTCCTACACCGTGTGGCCAGCTGCCATTCCCAGCGGTGGCGGTGTACGGTTGGACCCCGGACAATCATGGAGTATAGGAATCCCGGCTGGAACCAGCTCGGGCCGAGTTTGGGGTCGAACCGGTTGCCATTTTGACAACTCAGGCCACGGTACATGTCAAACCGGTGACTGCGCCGGTGTGCGTGGTTGCACCTTATCAGGTCAACCTCCGACGACACTTGCTGAATTCACGCTTAACGGCGGTTTTAATCTGGATTATATTAATCTATCTGTAATTGATGGGTTCAACGTTCCCATGCAATTTAGTGGATGCAACAAAGTGCTAAATTGTAGGGATGCTTCTTGCCCTGATGCTTATCATACACCTAGTGAGAATCAAAAAGTGGCTTCATGCCCAGGTGGTACTAACTATAGAATAGTCTTTTGCCCTTAAATTATATAGAAACCACCCAAAAATGTTTCTTTTCTACTGTAAAGAAACAAAATATAAAATAATATTGGGTGTTTGCTCTATGTGCAATAAATAATATGTACAACAATATTGCTGAATTTACTCTTGAAATTATAAGTATATAATTTCTTGAGAATGCAATATGTAATAAATTGTCTTATTTACTTCTGAATTTTGATGATTAAAACTGCTAGTACTATGTATGTGCACCATACCATTGTCGACTTGTCTTGGTCTATATGTTTTCGATGCTTGGCATATGCTCCATTCTTGCAAAATTTGAATTATAATTAAAATAATATTTTATAGACTCTCTTGTGGGTCCATATTTTTGAGCCATTAGTAATATTTTGTTGTTATATTGAGAAAATTAATGATGGACCAAGAGGAAGATATCGGCCTCATCTATAAGGATTTGGTATAGATTTGCTGAAAGAGGGTGAACCACAACACGTGTAAGAATTAAAAGAAGTCCTCTGCTTATTCCATTTTGTAGAAATCTTTTCCATCATGGTGAAAAGTCGTACCTTCTTTTAGAATTTTAAGATTTATTTTTAGACACATTCTTTTCACACACTTTGTTTGTTTAAATTGTTGAGACATTTTTATTTTTTTAAAATTTAGTTCAGAGATGCAGCTCTGTATTAACATTAGATTGAGTCTGAAGATGCATCTCCGTAACAATCCTTAATTCAATATTCAATGAGTTTTTCGAAGATACCTCTCAAAAATATGTTCGGTTAGGTCAAATCATAAACAATGACAGAATGATGGAAAAATAAGATAAATTAACTTCAAAATACTTAACATTACATAGATAATCATTAAAAACCCTCAATAGTTGGTCTAGTGGTGGTGGCTTAGATCTTAAGAGTGTGCTCCTTTCAAGGTCTTGTATTCGAATCCTACTAGGTGTTAACAATCCTTGTGTTGGGTCAGTCCATACAGAGATTTGCTCTAGATCTTGCAATTGTCAAGCTTGGTGAAATGTATCTTCCCTTCTTCTTCAATTGTCAAGCTAGATATCACAGAAAAGTATTCAGTTTGGATTTTAGATTGACAAGAGTTATGTCCTCGAAGACCCTAAATTGAAGTGGGGGACTTTGTGCCATTGAAATACACAGAAGCAAAATATATATATATATATATATATATATATATATATATATATATATATATATATATATATATATATATATATATATATATATATATATATATATATATATATATATATATATATTCATTTTGATTTGGTGTGTTTTGTAAACATCATGGAATGAGAGACCCCTTATTCGTACAAGTTTTAGATCAATTTGGATCTTAGAAACAATAACCTTTCATCAAGGCATATTTCAGATATGCATATCCGGACACACCCTATTTTTTACAAAATAAGAGTTTTTACGGAGATGCACATATGTAAAATCCTTTGTTTGTATTTTTCCAATTAAAATGGAGTGTATCTGGAGACGTATATTTGGACTCACTCAGAGCAATGTTCATACATAACCAATATAATATACATGCCAAAATTTTGAAACAGAAAAAGTGTCTAAAGTTTACCTCCAAATCCAATAACATTAAAATAGAATAGACATTGTGTATGTCTCAAACTGTATCGAGATTACATCATTGACAACATTACTACAAAATACGAGTTGCATTATTTGATAAAAACTAAAATGTATCAAAACATCTGTCACTACCTAAATCTATATCTTTTGGTGGTTTCTTCTTCGACATTTCCTTATTTGATTCTTTATCAGTGTCGCTAAACTTAGTGAACTTTTCCATCATTTTCACAAAGTGATCTGACTAAGTTTCACCATCTTTTGTGAAGTGTGTTATCCACTTCGGTGATGTCTTTGGTATAAGACATCCCAATTTCAAATAAACTTGAACACAATATTGTGTTTTTGAAAGCCACCAAATATACATGATGTGTCTGGATGGATTTTGAGGTGGCCTACTTGAAAGTGAAAAAATATTTCCAAAAAATCGTATTTTGTCACATCAATACACATCTTATCATAAACACTTATTACAAGATGTCCCTTTTCAGGAAGCACATTCATTTTTCAAATGGTACCAGACCACTAACCTAAGGAACAAGAGCATTTAGAATTGCATCGTAATTTTTTTCCGTATAATAATGTGTATGATTTCCTATGCATCATCAACTCTTGTATAAGCTGATAGCAGAAAAATTGGTGGTGCTCATCTCCTTTACCGAGCAAACCCAAAACAACTAAAAAACCACAGTTGTTGTCACCTTTAACATCTTCAATCCGCTCAATGTATTTGTGCACAAAAAACAACATCTCTTTAATGTGGACGAGTTTTAACACTGGTGGAAGAGGTCGTTTTCTAATGCGAGCACCCTTGAAAACATTTTTGTAGTTGGAGAATTCAGAAAATGTGAGCACTACAAAAAAATTGACATATACCAACAAAGACTTTTAGTGACAAACAAAAAATTTGTAGGTATAAAAAAAATTTACCTACAGACTCTACAAAAAATAAACACTCATTAGCCACATGATTTTGACGCCATAAATAGAAATATCACACCGTAAACCACAAATTAGTGGCATGAGCAAACATGCGGCAAGAGCGCTTTAGTTGCCACATGAAAATCACGACGCAAATTTGCCACGTGATATTCACGTTGCAACACTTTACCACTAAAGATATCAAAATGGGTTAGCCCATATGGGTCAACCCGCCAGGCCTTAAAAATCATAAGGCTTGGGCCTTAAAATTAGAGCCCATATTTTTCAGAATTTTTTAGCCCGACCCTAAAAAGCCCGCTACCCATTAGGGCTAGCCTGTACGGGCCGTGAGTAGCCTATTAGACCAACATAACTATAAATTTAAAAAATATATATATTAATAAATATATTATCTTACTCCAAAATAACACATTGATTTTTCTCACCTCACTAAATTTTATCTTTATTCTATTTAATCTTTCTCTTTTAAATTTTATAAATTAATATATTCAACACTCTTTCTTTGTATTCTATTAGTTTCTCTTATGTTAAATATTCGAGTATTATTTTATACAATTTAGACATGTGTTGTATTTAAAAACACATTAGTGTATTTATAAAAGATAATGTAATATGTTAAAATGTATTATGTTTAAAATAATATAATTTTTAATTTTATTTATTATAAATATCATGGGTAGCCCGAAGCCCATCCAGTATCGGGCTAGGATAGTAACTTTTTAACCCATATTACAACAAGACTTTTTTGGCCCAACCTTAAAAAGCCCGAGGTCCGTTTAGGGCCCAACAACCCATTTTGACAGCTCTATTTACCACGGAGTAAACACGTCGCTAATTTCTACATACGCTATAAGTTTACTCAGATATATGTTAGATTCCAAATATAGGTGCAGGAGTAGAGTGCAGTTTTAAAAGATTTGCGACGTGGTAAACACACCACAAAAATGAATACGTGTTAGATTCGCGACGTGGTAAACACGCCACAAAAATGAAAACGTGACCAAATTTTGCCACATGATTTTTATTTCGTAGACTTTTATTTTAATAAATAAAATTAAATAATATATAATTATTATACAAAAATTGATAAATAATAACAATTTTCAAATAATAATTATAAATATGGCTTTTTATAATAAAAAAATCAATTAAAAATGGTTAATAATATACAAAAATTAATATTTAAAAGTAAAGTAACAATAAAAAATCAATCATCGACATAAAACTCATCCTTTTCATCCTTATCTTCCTCATTTACTGCTCCTTGGCCTCCAACTCCTCCATTTTCACCAATCTCTTGATTTTCACCCATTGAACCATATGTTTGGTTCGTTTGTGTGAACATAAATTGTGACGTTTGCTCCTCCATATCAAATTGTCTCTTCTTCATTGCCTCCAATTCAACCTTTAGCACTGCCTCACGTTCCTCCGTCTCGTGTCTCACCTCATTTAGCGCCATTTGTCTCAATTTTTCCATCATTTCAGGGATCGACTCTAGTGGACGTGACATTCCTTCCCCATTTGCAATTTTTTCAAATAAACTGCTATCCCCTTTTCTGTAGTTTCCAGTCCAAGGTCCAACACCAAAAAACACGCATTAGATCCCTTCCTGCTAGTTACTAAACTCCAGATATAAAGATCCACACGTGGATCAATCGGATTTGAACCTATTGGAGTATACTAAAGATTTTCTTAAACATGAGGTTGAATCTTCCGAAGATCTTTCGTCTACTGAGTATGTTTTTTTGAAGGATTCAATTGGAGATGTTTGAGTTGAGTATGATGAAGTTGATGACTCTTTGTTTTTAGTTCGTTCAATTTCTCTATGATTTCCTTCTTTTCTTGATTTTCCCTGAAACTCACGAAGGCTCCCATCTTTTGATTTAAGGATTGGATTAAATTTCCAATTCTTAATTCTTAGATATTGGTTAGCGATAAAAGTTTCAATATGATTTCTAATATTTCTAAATTTTGAAAAATATTTAACGTAAAATCTTCATCATCTTTGCCTCGTATGTTTATCTCCTCATGCTTGATACTTAGATAAGCTTCATATATCACTTAAAGAGTATCCCACATTTCCTTGGTGACTTTGCAATGGTGAACATAAGAAAATTTACTATCATCTAAAGACATTTCTAAATAACTCTTGGTTTTGAAATCTATTTTAAATATTTTATTTTCTTCTTTGATCCGAATGGAATCAGGTTTATCTACTACTTTTCCATTTACATGGTAAGTCGGGTTAATGGACCATTAATTATAGTCTTCATTTCATGGGTTATACTTTGAATGAAAATTATAAACATAAATTTCCATATATTTAATCTACTACTATTAAAAGGTGGTGGTGTATTTAGAAAAGATCTCTTATTAGAAGTCATCTTCCTTTTAAGTCGATTAGTCCTTAAACATGAGTTAGGCTCTGATGCTAGTTGCTAGACATGTGAACTCACACACAAGAGG